TTAATGGGATGACCAAAATATACTTTGTGGTAAACAAACACTTATGTAAAATTTAAAAATACATAAAATCATTCATTTCTACTTTTTCTCTATATTTTGAAATTATAAAATCACTCTTATAAAATATAAAATGATCAAGAATAGGACTGAATGATCAATTGCATTTGCGATATGAAAAAACGCGATTTTTCAATCGCAAAGGCTGCGATTACACCGGTCACATGACATGCAAGAGTAAAGAGGTATGTTTTTTTTAATTATTTTTTTTATTAAATACAAAATCTGAATACAACAAACTGGCATTAATTAGTATACAAAAAAAAATTCTGGTATGGAAGGCTCAACACAATAGAATCATAATAAGCTCCAGACAAATCATATAATAAAACATTCCAAGAAACATAAAATATAAAATAAAAATAAATGTGCCGCGCTGCATCTAGTGTAGACAGCGTCACTGATTATAATGGTTCTACTGTATTTTGCCGCCCGCGTCCGGTGTAGACACTGTGTTTAATGTCGTTGGTGAGGAGGAAAGCCTGTGTGTGTCCTATGCCTTAGCGGACAGCATGAAACCCTCAACAACTAAATAAATAACAGAGAGAGAATAATAATAATAACAATAATAACAGTTATTCTCTCTATGCTATTTTTCAATGTTTCAAGTGATGCAGGTGTTTTTTCCCTGTAGGCTGGTAAAGCAACATATTTGTTTTTTGCGACATCCAGCTTTACGATAAATATTTACACCTGTTGCACCAACTGAAACTACGATCAGGCGCAACTACGCCCGGCGTAGACAATGCTCGATGTAGTACAGTATTGTTTCTGTCTGCAATAGCCCTACTGTGTTGTAACATGGTGTGGTAAATTGGCAACTCTGGTAACGCTGCCCTCTCATTCATTGATCTGCTAACCGCTTTGTTATGCTCGCATGTTGTGATAATAATGGCTTTCTAGGACTAAACATTATTTGGATAATTGGTAAAAAAAAACCAAGTTAAATATCTTAACCCTACTGTTAGACCTACCTGAGAAACTAAAAAGCAATTTATTTAATTCGAAGTCCTGTCGTTATTTTTTATTTGTGCTGTCATTATTAATTTCTTTATTTCTTATTTTATTACTGACTGCTTGCTTGTCATTTTTTATTCAATTCAAAGTTTTAAATCAAGCTATCTTGTGCTACTGCACCAAAATTACCCCACTGTAAAATTTAAAAAACACTGAGTGAGCAAAAATTTGTGAGAATAGTTAGTTATAATGGTAATTAAAAAATGTTTACATATGTATAAAAGCCTACATTAAAATCTGTCATATAAATTGGTCTCTTCAATAGAAATTAGCCTACTGATTGCCACCATTGATGGACAAAAATTTTTAATAATATTAAAAATATCTGTATGACATTATATTCTGCAGTTCTTCCCTGTTGTACCGAATATCTATACTTTTCAAATTATCATATCGAAGTTAGAAATTCAAATATTGTGACAAAATTAATTTTGTAGGGTGCCACAAGTTTGTTAAAATTTCCAAAGGGTGCCGCGACTAAAAAAAGGTTGAGAAACACTGAGTTATAGAACCCAGTCCATTCCTAGAGTATGGTCCAGGACCTACACCATCAGTCGTCCAACCCCTGTCATCCCAGTTTACCTTCCGGTCCAACGGATTTACGAGAAACACTCCCCCAGACCTTCCTGTACACGTGGAGCACAGACAAGATGTGGCTCCGGACCCTGACCTACGATCAGTGATATCTCTAGCCACTAATTCTGGGTCTGTGCCCAAGCATATCCCCGAGTTCCTCCCTGAACCTACGCTATCCATCGAGCATTATCTAGAATTGGCTCCAGCCTCTGACAAGAGTCCAGTGCGAGCTCCAGGCCCAGACCAGTTCCCAGTAAAGACTCAAGCCCCTAACCAGATTCCAGAGCATTCTCCAGCCCTCGACCAGAGTTCAGTGTTGGCCTCAGCCCCGGAGCAAGGTCTAATGTCGGCTTCAGCCCCTGGCCAGAGTCAAGTGCTGGCTTCAGCCCAAGACAAGTGTCCAAAGCAGGCTCCAGCCTTCAATCAGAATCCAGTACAGGCCCCAGCCTTTAATCAGAGTCCAGTGCGAGGTCTAGTTCAGGTACAAGCCCCCGACCAGAGTCCAGAGCACATTTTAGCCTACAATCAGAGTTCGGTGTTAGCTTCTGCCCTAGACCAAAGTCTAATGCTGTCTTCAGCCCCAGACCAGAGTCCAGTAAAGGCTACTGCCTATGACCTGAGTCCTAGACACACAGCAGTGAATAGTCAGTGTGAAGGACTAACTATAGTTCCCCTCTCTAAGAAGTCCAAGTCTGTTATCACGGTCAGGAGTGCCGTTCCTTCTTTAAGTGCCGTTCCTTAAATCCCCTCGTTTCGGCCAGGAGTGCCGTATCTTCCAGTTCCACTTCCACTTCCATCTCAGTTGGATTAAATGTCCTTGTCACGGCTAGGAGTGCTGTTCCCATCGCTATAAGAATCAGCTACCCTATCATGGCCAGGAGTGCAGATTCTCTCGCTGAGAAACTCAGCTTCCTCAATACGGCCAGAAGTGCTGTCCCCTGTACTGTGGAACCCTGATCCCTCGTCACGGTCAAAAAGGCCATTCCCTATGCTGTGAGATCCAGCTCCCTCGTCACGGTCAAGAGGGCCGTTCCCTCTTCAGTCGGAGTAAATGTCCTTGTTACGGCCAGGAGAGCTGTTCCCTCTTCAGCCGAATTACTCTCCCTTGTCACGTCTAGGAGAGCTGTTCCCTTCACGGCTGGATTAAATTACCCCGTCACGGCCTCATTAATAAATGTATAAATTATTAGTTATTATAAATGTTCCGAAATATTATACAATTTAATATTAATTAATATACAATATACAATTTTTTACATTAATGTCACTAATAAAGCATTAATTAGGGACTACATTTATTTTTTGAAATATACAAAAATAGCGTTTACTTTTTGAAATATTAGAAAAAAAATGCATGTACTTTCTGAAATATTATTAAAAATAGCCTTTTTTTTTTTTTTACATTTCTTACATTAATGTAACTTATAAACCACCAAATTAGTGACTACATTTACTTTCTGAAATTTTATATAAAAAAATAGCATTTACTTTTTGAAATTTTATTTAAAAAATAGCATTTCTTTTTACATTTCTTATGTTAATGTCAATAATAAAGCACCAATTAGCCTAGTGACTATATTTACTTTCTGAAATATTATACAAAAATAGCATTTACTTTCTGAAATATTCTTAAACAAATAGCATTTTGTTACATTTCCTACATTAATGTCACTAATAAAGCACCAATTAGTGACTACATTTATTTTTTTTAAATATTATGCAAAAATAGCATTTACTTTCTAAAATATTATTTAAAAATTTCATTTTTTTTTACATTTCTTATGTTAATGTCACTAATAAAGCACCACTTAGTGACTACATTTACTCTCTGAAATATTATTTTAAAAAATAGCATTTTTTGTTTGTTTTTTTTACATTAATGTTACTAATAAAGCACTAATTAGTGTCTGACTACATTTACTTTCTGAAATATAATTTAAAAAATAGTATTTTTTTATATTCCTTGCGTTAATAATTTGTGAAGCACTAATTAAGTGACTATGTTTACATGCACTTCTGAATTTCTAATTTGAGAATTTCTTATGATCTTCCTAATTTCTACAGACAGCAGCGTTTTCTTGTGGTTCTTTGTGTTTTGAGCGGCCGATCGCTGACGGAGCTGCAGGTGTTCGCGGGTTAAGAATACGAGCATGTGAACACAAACGCTGCTTTGCTGTCTGCCGATGCTCTGAGGTGCTTGTGAACACAGTCGTCATTTAACCTGCAGCTCCAGAGTCTCGCTGCATTTCCTGAGACTCCTCGAGACGCGGATTGCTGTTCCCGCCGCAGATAGAGTCCGCTGTCTCGTCACAGTCAGAAACACCATTCCCCTCATTTTTTTTTCTGGGTCTGTGCTCAAACATATCCCTGAGTTCCTCCCTGAACCTACGCTATCCACCGAGCATTGTCTAGAATTGGCACCAGCCTCTGACCAAAGTCCAGTGTGAGCTCCAGGCCCTGACCAGTTCCCAGTAAAGACTCCAGCCCCTAACCAGAGCCCAGAGCATTCTCCAGCCCTCGACCAGAGTTTAGTGTCTCAGCCCCGGAGCATGTCGGCTTCTCAATTCCCCTCATTGAAAGATTCGTCACCCCTTCGTCACGACCAGGAAAACCATTCTCTGTTCCACTTTGAGAGGGCAGAACTGTCCGTCTTGACTGCACTTATTGCACTCCTCCCCTCATTGCAGCCGCCTACTCTCGCCTACATTTCAGGCGAGGCGCATCTCAAACAAACCTGATGTTATGTTGACTTCTGAACTTACCTGATTTACAGTTCTGATCCCGGCTTCAATAAACCTGCTGTACTCACTTACCTGTGTTCTCTGTTATCTGTTTTGTGACACATTCATTCAAGAGATTTGTTCAAAAACTGACTCATCTAGTAAGGAAACAAGTGAAGTATTTTTGAGTCATTGAATCATTCATTCAAACCACTTTTTCATAATTTTATTATTAAAAATTGGAGTATTAAATATATTTTAAATGTATATTAAAATATTTAATAATTTTGATAATTCATTTAAATTAATTAAACAGTTTTAAATCGACTGCAGCAATTCATATTGTCACACATAATTTTGTTTAGTTTAGAATCGTGGGAGAATTGTGATCTCTATTTGAGACAAAAATCATGATTTTTCCAGTATCGTGCAGCTCTACTACGTACTTAAACCCTGAGCTAACAGACTTTTTTGCATATTGGCGGTGTTGAGGTCATTGATTGACATAACAGCTTTACCTGGAGTAAAAAGCAGGGATTAGAACGACAAATAAGCACAGTGTGAAAAGCCTGTATGTGTTATTCTTCTACAGACATATATAATAGTACAAGAAATGCATCTCAGTATTTGATGTAAAGGTGCAATCTAGAAGCACAATCAGCTGATGCAGAAACTCACACAGTACTGCTCATGTCTCAGATGCAGTCAGGAGAGAAGCTGCTGGTGAAATCCATCTCTAAAAGTGACGCCAGCATGCAGACAGAGACACACCCTCTGGAGACCAACATTGTGAAGTCCTATGAGTGGAACGAGTGGGAGCTCCGAAGAAAAGCCATTAAACTGGTGAGAAGCGTTCACACACATGATCTCAGTCTAGACATGCATTAGAGAATCTGTTATTTCTTCGGAGAGAACACGGGGACATGACGGTCCTGTTTACTCGAGCAAATGTACCGGTATGATGCGAATTAACCGTGATTTTGGGTGAAATGCGACTTTACCGAAGCGCTGTGTCTGACACACGGGTGAGTAACGTTAAGTTATTTCTGTACTCAATAACAACCGCCTGCAGAACCTGTATTACGTTGTCGTTATTTGTTTTTGAAAGATGTTGGAAAAATTATACCTCACCTTAGAGAGAGTAAAACGGTAATATTCATTCACTTTTAAAACTTTTATTTCGACTGAACATCGACGTTTTATAAAATACCTCGGTAGTACGAACGATCATTTCTAAACACAAATTGTGGTGTGGAGTTTGCAGTGTTTATATAACAAAATCTGAATCATAGCATCTATACAGTCGTCCTCCAAATTGTTATTGATCTTGCTAATGACAGCAGTCATGAAAGATATGATTTGACACAGAAATCACATGCAAGCACTAATCTAGTACAGTAGTTTGGTTCAGTGTTTACCTAAACATTGCTCAGTTTTATTGGAAACTACAGATTCACTCTTTGTTCATGAATTACAGGTCACTGTATTGTAATTCAAATGGTCAAATTCATCCGTATCACTCATAATTTATATACTTTATTTATTAAATAATTCATATTTGTTGTTCGTAAATGTTTCAGATGTGTCTGTTTGCTCAGAATCAGAAAGGGCTTTATTGACACAAGTAAATTTGTCTTGGTGTCAGGAGCTTCCAGTGCAAAGAAGAACAGATGCAGACACACAAAATGATATATAACACTAATAATGAGAATACACAATAAATAATAATGACTATGTAAGTCAGGTTATTACAGTATAGCGAGTATAGTTATTACTCGTCACCTTCTGCTCTGAACTCAAAATGTGTCATTTATGTGATTTGAGCAGATGATAATATTGATAAATTGGCGTAGACCAGAATAATCCCAAGTGTGTCTTTATTAAAGGGATTGATCGCCCAAAAATGGTCATTCTGTCATCATTTACTGTACTCTCTCTCTCGTGTGGATCCACACCTGTCCTGTATGACTGACTTTCTTCCACTTGACGACACAAAAGAAGATGTTTTAGGAAAATGTCTGTTTTTTTTATACAGTGAAAGTCAGTAGTCAAGCAAAATTATGATTTAAATATTGGTCAGTATTGTTCTATTAAGAAACGTCGGTCTGTTCTGCTGAAATCAAGAGTACGCGATTCTCAAAAAGCATTCATGAAAGTAAGATCGGATGTCAGAGATGAAACGTTTCAAGTAATTAAGGAATTAGTCACCGAAGTGGTTTGGTTACCAGCATTCTTCAAAGTATTTTCTGTTGTTTTCCACAGAAGAAAGTCGTACAGGTTTGGAATGACACGAGTGTGTGTAAATGATGACAGAACCATGATTGTGGGGTAAACTATGCACAGTAAAAAACGCAGTGTCAGTTTAACACTTAAAGTGTCTAAACACTAAAGATCATATATGGTCCCAATCTGTCTAGTGTTAAAAGTACACCGTTCATAGTGTTGAATTTTTAGTGTTAATATAGCACCTTACAGTGTAGAAAAATTACACTCCGAGTGTAAAGTGTTACACTTGCTATTGTTGTTCAAATTTTACACTATGGGGTATTTAACACCCTATGGCGAATGGAAGTTTTTAAACGCACTCTAATTTCAGTTTTGCATTAACGTTAGATAACGTCAATCAAATGACTGGTAAATGTTCCGCGTTATGCCAGCTCTGTCTGCAGAAAGACTGCTCGTTTGCAGCGGGCGAGACAGACACTTCAACACGGTGTCATGCGTCACAAAAACGAAATTGTTAGCGCCTAATGTTTAACAGTCCCACTATTACCGTTTCAAAGCATGGAAACTGCGAAATGCCACACTCAATGCTTTCAAAAACAAATATAAATTTACCATTTGATGAATTATCTCATTTGAGTAGAAAACCGCCCAAATGTGGCTGCTTCAGACTTCAGTGCCAGACTCGTAGTAAAACCAGGCCTCGGCGGGAATGGAGGCGAGAGGATCTGTCAGC